CTTTTGTGCTAAGCCCGATTAGTGAATTCAGATTAGTCCATTTCTTTTATGGCTTGTTTATTTTGATCCCAAATTCACGTTTAGCTCTCAAGACCCCTTTTCTTCTTCTGCCGCAACAAATCCTTATTCGCATCCACACACACACCAACTCTCATTTGCATCCACTCACACACATGAACATACCCCCTCCTGCACCCATACCAGCACACACACACACACACACACACACACACACACACACACACACTCACCCATTTCACCTAAACCCACATGAACATTTCACTTTGTCCCCCTTTAGAAATTATTCCCCGTTTCTCTATAATCCGGGTGTCACCGAATTTCCACTTTTATTACGGATAGGTTATTTCCTATCACTGCCATAAAGCTTTGGGCTAACAATTTCCTTAATTCCATGCATGAAACAATAAGCTGTGTTTGGTCCTTTTGTCGATGTATTAACTGATGTTGTAATAAATTTACTAAATGTAAATAACGCCTGATCATTGTCTAGCCATTCTCGGGAATAATCGGCGCATTCTGTCAAGAATTCATCCATTGGATTGATTTGTGTTGTTAACTCTGAGACTGATGACATTATGAAGATGTAGATATTAAATCCAATGGTCCAGTTCGGAAAACTGGTGGTGCCCTGATTAATTAATATAAGATTATAAACAAGCTAAATCTACACCACATTTGAAATATAGATATAAATCTATATTCATCACTACATAAAACATCAACGTTGCGGAGCTAATAGTGGTAGAGTCGCTATTAGCCAGTGAGAGGCAAGATGTCCAAATATCAGGAAATAAGATTCCAAATTGTGCTGTCTGAAGCTCAGCTCTGATCCGGCTCACTTCTGGTTCCTGAAAGTGGCTCAAACCCAGAGTGCGACTTACAAGGTATTCATTCCTACTAAAGATGACTGCAAATGTATTGATTGTAAGAGTGTTCCACACTTTTAAACTATAAGCAACTTTTTTGGGCTTTACACATCCCTTTATAGACACCCCCCTGAACAACTGGCACACACAGAAACGATGATGATCAGTCATGGCCCCATTGTCTCACAGCCAGCAGTTCCATAATGCAGGCCCACCATCAACAAATCATGGAGGACGTTTTAAATCGGAGGCCAACTTCCTCTCCCTTACAGGAAAATGAGATGGCCTCTCATAGACCCAGGGAGCTTGAGTCTCTCACTGCAAAAAGATGAGTAATCATCGGCACAAAAATGGGTCCAATAAACTTAGGAGCTAATTTATGTGATTCAACATGCAGATGCAGGTCCCAACAGTCTCCTACAATCGGCTAAAGCTGACCCCTCTTACCAATCTGCTGTTTGTTGTATCCTGAAGATTTTTGTGAAAGAGTATGATGTGCTCTGGCCCAAGCGCTCTGGCAGCAACGACCAGAGCAAGAACAGATAGCACTTTAAACTTCCCTAGGCTTAGAAACGGAGGAAGCTTACAGTAGAAGAGGTGTGATCAAGTCACTGCTTTGCAAGTCACAAGTAAGTCACAAGTCTTTCCAGTCAAGTCTCGAGTAGTCCAAGTCAAAGACAATCAAGTCCAAGTCAAGTACAAAGTCAATGATGTGGAAGTCCAAGTCCTTAACTTTGAATTTTCAAGTAACAATCAAGTAATCTGTTTATCTTCAGTTTAAGGACAATGATAATAAATAAATTCCAGAAATAAAGCTTCTTAAAGCTTCGTTTATTTGCTCAAACAAGCACAAAGTGCAACTGAAACTGATTATAAAGAAATTTAGCAGTACAAGATCACACCTAGAACGAAGAATGATTCATGATTTTTGTCCATTTCCTGCCACTTTTGTGCGAAAATATCAAATATGCTCAAGTCATCATCAAGTCAACTGATACAAGTCGATTTACGTCATAAGTCATTGGCGTTCATGTCTGAGTCAAGTCGTAAATCTTTATAGATTTTATCAAGTCAAGTCAGAAGTCATTAAAATAATGACTAGAGTCCAAGTCATGTGACTCTAGTCCACACCTCTGTACAACAGGCAGGGACGAAATTTTGATTTCAGAAGTGGGGGGGACACAGCAGGCTTGTGCGGATTTGGGGTGGGGGGTGTTATGTAAAGACCCCTTGACACGTCACATGCCCATCTCAATAATTTTTCCATCCTCAATATATATATATATATATATATATATATATATATATATATATATATATATATATATCAAAGTTAAAAAATGTACAACTCTATTATTATTTTTATTTATTATCATTATTGAAGTGCAGTTTTGGCTGTTGACAATGGATAGGTCATTGTATTTATTGTTTTGGGTCTTTTTTATTGTTTTTGGTGCAACATTTTCTAACAGGGAGTGAGATTCCTTTTTTATTTAATTTTTGTTTGTTATTTTTATTCATTTAGAAGTTCTGGTTCTGGACATTTCAATGTTAAATGAAGGTTTCTTTGTTGCATTTTAAAGGGTGTACTTGCATTATTATGATATATTAACATTATATTAGTGGTTATTTTGGTCTAGATAATGTTGACAATTTCGTTTATCATCAACAATTTGTTGGACAAAATATCGTCCATCAAAATGTGTTACTTTCCCAGGCCTAGTCAAAAGTATAAAAATTATTTATACATAAACGGTCCTCCTGAGATCTGGCCGTTTGTTCATTTGCTGTGTTAGAGGACATGCTGAACTAATGTTTTACACATGATCATCACCCTAACATTTGAGTGTATAAAAACATATTAAATATGTTTTTCCCCTTAAAAGTGTTTAAACAGTTGTTGCATTTCAACACACAAAAAATAAATGGAAAAAATAAGATAAATCTAATGAAAAGTGTACATCTTTGACATTAAGCTTAAAAAAATCTGTTGACGATGATACTGTTCATTTTTCAGAACTTTTTAATGTGAAAATATACATTGCAATAGATAAGTTTACAATAAAGTTAAATGATAAAAGTTTTGAAGTTACACTACTACTACTACTAGTAATAATAATTATGATGATAATAGTAATAATAAAAAAATAATAATTATAATAATACAAATAAATTGTGTCTGAGGAGTCAGTTATGTGGAGGAGATGAGTTTGTAAAAGTTAGTTTTGAGTATGTGTGTGAAGGAGGAGGTGAGTCTGAGCTTAATGCAGGGGTGTCACATGTCCAACTTACGTTTTGACTTTGAAAGAAGTCTCTTATAGCCACTTTTCGTTTTCTTGACATGCTGCCTCCTGGCTGTGCCTAACTACCAAAGACTCACAAATGAACACTTATTCAAATGTTATGTAATGGAAGCTGAGCTGAGCTCTGATATTACACAGCGTCTAGTTGACGATGTGACTCAGTACCGGTGTTCCCTAGCGGCTCCAAACTAGCAAAACAACGTGAGCACGTTCTGACTGTTTACAACTTGAGTGACAGCAGCAACAGCCAATAATACGTTAGCAAGTATCAGCAGAGCCAATAGATTAGCTTTAGGGCGGGTCTAATAGTAAACCGGTTTCCGTTTCGGTCCTAGTGCTCAACCAAATCCATTTAATGGAGCGTAACATTGTTTTTGGACGGAAAAAAGTGCAAGGGACCAAAACTGCCGTTTGAAAAAGTGGGGGGGACATGTCCCACCCGTCCCCCCCCAAAATTACGTCCCAGACAACAGGCATGGTGAAATGGAAATAGCTAGCAGACAAACAGGCGAGAATAATGCAGGCAAACTTTACCCAAACATGCTGCTTACTTGAGGAAGACAGGCGTCTGAACGCGAGGATGAATAGACTCCTCCAACTCATATGGACTTGTGGCAAGGTGGAGAAACGAGGGCCCGGGCGGGATTCGATCCCCAGACTCCCGGGTGAGAGTCATGTGCACTTACCAGTCAGCCAATGGGACATCCCGTTGGCCAAGTAGCCAGGGCGCATGATCAATCAGGACACTGTGACAGGACACTCACACTGCCACATCTTCCCCCTCTTTCCACGTGCACGTCCTCGTGCTCCCGCGCAGGGTGCCACAAACTTCACATCCATGGACCTACTTGAAAGTACTACATGGATCCTGCCAACAACGCCAAATGTGGCGAGGTGGAGAAATGAGGGCCCAGGCGGGATTCGATCCCCAGACTACCGGGTGAGAGTCACGTGCGCTTACCAGTCAGCCAAAGGGACATCCCCTTGGCCAAGTAGCCAGGGCGCATGATCAATCAGGACACAGTGACAGGACGCTCACACTGCCACAGACTGATGATGGTCATCAAATGAAAAACTGACCGAAGCCTCTGGCAAGTTTTCCTGAGCATCATCACAATTGACCTTAGGATACCGGAAAATTCTCAGACAAGGAACCATACTTGGATTGTTGTTCCATCAACCTCCAATTTCTTTTTTTTAAATAACTAATTTGTATAAGCTGGAAATGAACGTAACATGTTCATATCTGTTTCAAGGAAAAGTTTTGTGGTTTTACTTCATTGTTTATGATATCATATGGTAAGTATGGCAAATAGGTATTTTAATCAATCATAGCAAATTCAAATTTAGATAATTGGACTTTTGGACACACTTTCCTTCTCACCCAAGGAGCTTTCTCAACTTGAGAAAACCAAGGGAACAAAAATTAGTTGTCTTTGTTTTAATCTGCTTGCAATTCCATACCATTGCTTGTATACCAGGTAAGTTTATTCTCATCATATGTAGTCTTTGTTTTTAGGTTGATTTTCTTGGAAGAAATTTAAATATTTTAATCCTCTGATCACAATGATGTCAAGTTATAATGATCAATTATAAGAATGGTTCATTTTCAGCAATGAAACTGTTCATGGGCAACACTTTGAGGAACTATGTTGTTACAAGCAATATTTATGTGTAATTACATTTATTTTTATTAAATGTTACAATGGCTTGCTCTAAATAGGCTAAAAAAATTTCCTCCATGATCGTCCATGGAGAGAACTATCTTGCCTGATTGTTTCATCTTTGTCGGAAAACCCGTGACGTCTGACGTTTACGGAAGTGCAGAAAGAGCACAATTAAAAACAGACCGGTGGGTCGCTCGGGCGGTTCAACAGCGATTTCACGTTCGTAATATTACTCTTTTAGCTATGTGTTGTTTTCTAGAGTCTACGATCAAGTTAAAAGAGGATTTGGTGAACTTCGTTAGTCCTAGTGTTTAATGCGCTGCGACTCAAAGCGAAGCTAACAGGGCTCAACACCAGGCTTTAGTCAGCGCACGTTATTGTTGTGAAGTGAAGACATCCACCGTGGATTTGTCCTGCAGCAATTAACCCATTCATCCGTCTCAACTGACATGGTTCCACCCGGTTTGTTATTTTGTTCCTTTGTTCAATCCGCATGAAGATTAGCGGTTATGAGTGCGGAACACGGATGTGACATTCCCCACTCCATCAGAGGAACTACAGGGGGCTCAACTCCTGTTTAGTAACAGCCAGCCAGGTATCGCTCTACATCTCCAGCCGAACATGGAGAAAGAGGTTTTGGAGCAGATTATGGCCGCGTTCAGCACGCTGGTGTCGTGGGTGGCTGCTGGTGCCATGGTGTTCGGTGGCGTGGTGCCCTACATCCCCCAGTACAGAGACATCCGCCGGACTCAGAACGCAGAGGGCTTCTCCACCTACGTGTGTCTGGTCCTGCTAGTGGCCAACATCTTAAGGATCCTTTTCAGGTGATATGAAACTATACTGCTGACAAACTACTGTGCGCCTGATTTATGCTTAATAAGTTTGGAAAACGTATTTTAGATTTCTGCTATGACGCCATTTAAACTGGGGCTCCTGTAGCTAGACGTGTTAATAACCTTTTTGCGTATAAACAGTATAATTGGGTCTTTACAAATGTAATCCTTCTGTTTCTCTGCATTTTTTGACATGTTTCTGTGAACTTGATTAAATCTAGAATCTAGGTCTAAAAACGTTTTGGTGCTGCCCCCTGTGGCAGAACAGCGGCTACTGCATTTTAAACTGAGTTTTTTCTTTTTCGGAAAATAGAACATTTACAAAATTACAATATATTGCAAAAGAGTACAGAAAGTGAACGAAAGCGTTACGAAACAGATAAAAGTGATGCGGGAGGATTAATAATAGTCTTTTCAAGGCCAGATATCGTTCTAATGGCTTTAGGATTGGAACTAGATTTAAGGCATTTTATATAAATATCTAAAGTAGCTAAGAATGCTTTAAAATTGGGTTTATGATGCTGAAATGTAGAGGTGTGGATATGATATTTCCCATATATCACAAGCAAATTAGTGATGCATAGTTTTTCTGAGTCTTTGAGATTGTTTCTCAACACCAAACAACATATGCTTTTTTTCTGGTGAGAACGTTGTGT